TAGTAACATGCCCAAAGTACGTGAGGCAAAGCCTAATCATTCTTGCCTCCAATGAGCACTCTGGCTGAACCCTCTCCAAGACATACTTGTTTGTTCTTTTGGCCATCCAAGGGATGTTCAGTGTTCTTTTCTAAACTGCTTCTCAAAGACGTCAATTATTTTTGTGTCATCCTTATTCAATGTCCAGCTCTCAGTTGTAGAGCAACTAATCGAAAACTATGGCCTGATTCAAATGCACCTTAGTCCTCAAACTGACATAATTATTTTCCCAGTGCAATTCATCTCTTCATTTCCTGATTGCTTGTACCAAGGGTGTTAATTGTGGATCCAAGCAAGATGAAGCTGTTGACAGTTGCAATCTCTTCTCCATCTATCATGACACTGACTATTGGCCCAGTGATAAGAATATTTGTTTTCCTGACATAGAGATGCAATCCATACTGAAGGCTGCATTCCTTGATCCTCTGTAACAAGTGCTTCAAGTCATCCTCACTTTCAGCAAGCAAGGTTGTGTCATCTGCATAACACAGGTATTTTTCAACTAAATCCACTCATTTTCTTGCTGAGTCTTTGGGATATTTTTATATGTAGATCACATAATCTGAAAATATATTTTTACTTCTTTGCCAATGTGCATGCCTTTTGTTTGCTTTATTGCTCTGGTCAGGACTTCCTATGCAATATTGAATGATAGTGATAAAGGTCATTTGTGTTTATTTCTTGTTCACAAGAGGCAATGGCGTTAATTTCTTTCCATTTAGACTTTTAGCTGGTGGTTTTGTATTTTGCTGTTGTTATGTGCTGTTGAGTTACCTGTGACTCATAGTGATCCTATGTACAATAGCGCTGAAGCCTGCCCTGCCCTGAGCCAGTCTCACTGACTCCGACACACCTACCCCCGTTGTCCCAGTTACTCTATCAATCCATCTCATCCAGAGTCTTCCTCTCCTGTGTTGCCCCTCCACCCTTCTGAGCATAATGTCCTTCTCCAAGGATCAGCTCCTCCTGGCCACATGTTCAAAGTATGTGAGACAGAGCCTCAAAATCCTAGCTTCCAAGGACAAACTTGGTTTAACTCTTTCCAAAACAGACCTATTTATTTTCTTGGTGGTCCATGGTATGTTCAAAACTCTTCTTAAGCACCACAAGTCAAAGGCATTAATTCTTCTTCTATGATCCTTACAGGTTGAAAAGGTATGGAGACAGGAAACATCC